TTGAAAAAGCAAAATTTCCTGTACATAAGTGGGAGTCCGACGTACTAGAGCTTGATACCGAGTCAAACCCATCCAAGATAATAGGTTACCTATGGGACAAGCGATCAGACACACTCGAAGTCAAGGGAGAAGAGATTGCTAGAAGCGAAGATCAAGTGACGAAAAGAGGTATCCTTAGTAGCCTATCCAGTTTGTATGATCCACTTGGCTTGATGTCACCGACGTTAGTTCAAGGGAAAGAAATCTACCGTGATGCATGTGACGAAAACAAGAGCTGGAACGCCACAGTGTCAGATGACATTGTAGTGAGATGGAGTAAGTGGACCAGTAACCTATGCAACGTGAAAGTGCCCAGGAGTATACCACAGGGAGTGAATAACATCACTGGTGTCCACTTAAATTTATTTGGAGATGCGAGTAAGACAGTGTGTTCTACAGTAGCCATAGCGGTTATTGAACATTCAACGGGAGTGTTTAAAGGAATGTTAACATCGAAGTCAACGATATTAAAGCAAAACACGACCATACCGAGACTAGAGCTGATCAGCGGACATATGGCAGCAAACATGGCAAAGAACATCAACACCGCCTTACAACGCTGGCCCATAAAGTCAATCACCATCTGGATGGATAGCATGACGGGTCTTTACAGGATTTGCAACCCTGGAAAACTATGGAAAGTCTTTGTTTCCAATCGCGTCAGGGCGACAAAAATCACCAACGACCTCAAGATCAACTGGAAGTACTGTCCATTGAACATCAATCTAGCTGATCTAGGAAGTCGGGGTGCATCACTTAACAAGATGGAGACTGGACAGTGGTTCGAAGTACCTGACTGGTTGCTTGATAAAGACGAATGGCCAAGTCAGCCGAAGCTTGAGAGTTCAACTAGCATCTGTGAGGAGAGCAGCCCAACCAAACAAGCTGTCCTTCTTGCTGTCAAGCGTGAACCAGATGAGTGGGAAAATACACTTGAGAAATACACTTACTGGAAGACCATGAGGATTACAGCATGGGCCCTAAGATTCCTCAACAACTGCCGTGCGAAAACAACGCGAGGGAAGGACATTATGCCACTCACAACAAAAGAGATCAACAGAGCGGAAGTACACTGGGTGAGGAAAGTGCAAGCAGATGTCAGTAGAGACTCCAGGCTGGACCATAGTGGAAGATGACAAGGACATCTTGAGATATAAGGGGAGAATCGCTGGCTACCAGCCAATCTTCATTGACAGAGGAACCTTTGCAGATAAACTCATACACCACATGCACGTGAACATCAGCCACCTGGGAATCCCGACCACTATGGCAGCCATCAGAGAGAAATGGTGGATCCCGAAATTACGATCCAAAGTGAAGAAGACGATCAATGAGTGCAAGACGTGCAAAACCTTCAACACAAAGCCATATGGAGAGACAGCGACAGCAGACATGCAGACCTTTCGCACTGAAAGCAGCAGACCATTCCAAACAACGGGTGTGGACTTCGCCGGGCCACTGGAATACAAGGTATCCAAAAGCGAGAAGGCAAAGTGATACATTCTAATATTCACATGTGCGACGTCCAGAGCTGTGCACCTTGAATTGACGAAGACTCAAACTGCAGATGAATTACAACAGAAGTTATCAGCTTTCATCACGTGAAAAACCAGACCAGAGCGAATAATATCAGACAACGCCTAAACTTTCAAGTCTACAGCAGAGTGGATACGTCAGATAAGGAAGAGTGAAGCATTGCAGGATTTCCTCGCAAGACAACAGATCCATTGGCAATCTTGCTAAGTCGCCATGGTGGGGAGGAATGTATCAGCGTTTAATTAAAGAAGTGAAGAAAACGCTGTTCAAGACTTTGGGAAGGGCGAGCCTAGAGTTTCAACAGATTGAAGCCATTGTAATTGATGTCAAAAGACACCTAAACAACCGACCTTTGACATACGTCCAAAGCGAAGCATTTGAAGAGCAAGTTTTAACGCCAAACATGATCATGTGGGGACAAGATGCCTATTCTGTAGAAGACATCGAGTTAGACACAGGCGAAACAACTAAGCTTCATAAGCAACTTGCTGAAAAGAAACAGCATGCATGGCAAAGATGGAAAACAGAGTATGTACATGGGCTTATTGAATGTCATCGTATCAAAAAAGGTACAAATGCGCATCCAGAGACTGGCGACTGCTACTAGTGGGAGACGAAAAGAATAGAGGGGAGTGGAAGAAAGGCAAAGTTACGCAGCTGATATGAGGAAAGGATGGTGTAATTAGGGGAGTGAAACTGCTAGACCGAGGACACCACCTTGAGAGACCTCTGTCTCTCATTTGCCCCTTGGAAATCAAAGCTGAAGCTAAACCAATAGCAATTGAAACGCAACAGCAAACCACATACCATAGAAGTACCAGACAAGCAGCACAGAATGCAAAGCGTGCCATAAGGAAGGCACTTGAAGCAGAAGAGCTAAAAAACTGAACATTAAGCCATCACGCAAGTGATTGGTTTGAACTATATAACTATGAACACTGCAAGAGAATTTAGTACTGTATTCATCATATTGTTACTGTTACACGCAAGAAACCGTGATTATTAGAAAAGAACACTCGTAG